TTCTGGGACAGCTGCACCTGGCATGGGCCTCAGGCTGCTTCTACTCCTGGTGGAAAGCGGCAGGCAGCTGGAGGGGATAAGCAGATCACATGGCGAGAGGAAGCAAGAGAGAGAGAGAGAGAGGAGGTGCCAGGGTCTTTTTAAGCAACGAGCTCTGGCGGGAACTAATAGGGCGAGAACTCACTCATTAATCCCCCCTCCCCCAGGGAGAGCATTAATCCACTCATGAGGGATCCGCCCCCATGACTCGATCAGTTTCCGACACTGCCACACTGGGGATCAGATTTCCACATGAGTTTGGGAGGTGACAACACATCCAAACTCCATCAGCATCGCCTCGTCCAGGAGGCCTCCCTGCACTCTCCATTCTGGGCTAATTGTCACTCCTTTACTATTACCTGTGCAGAGAGCTGACTGCAACCACCCTTTATGGGTCTCCATCCTCACTAGGCTGTGAATATTAATTATCTCTCTTTGAATTTCTGGCACTAAGCAAAGGTTTAGCCCATAATAAGTACACAAGGAAAGTTTGGAGAAGCATCGGATGGTAAGTCCTTACACATATCCACAGTCATATCCACCTTCATCCCATTGCCTTGAACAACCCCAGCAAGGACTCCTATCTTCCCAGCCTTGATTTCTTCCTCCATGTCCAATGTCTCCATCCTTCCTACTCTCACTTGCTGAATCCTGGTCGAGCAGGCTGACCCGACCAGACCCGTACTTCCAGGTAGCTCTGGATGGTTTTCCTCTCCCTTCCCATCATCAGACTCCCTCATCTTCTGTCCCATTCTCAGTCATGCGGCTGTTCTTTGCTGGGTGAAAAAGGAAATCAGGTAAGAGAATCCATATTAATGGGGGTTAGTGTTACCTCTCCTACGTACAATAGCGACACATTAGCAGTGATGTTTTATGGACATCGCTGTGCTGTGCTTCTCACACAGGGCACAGGCGCTCCCTGGGTCACACAGAAGTGTGCCAGCGATACTACAAGCCACAGCCTGGGAAACACTGCTCAACTTGACACTTTGGGAAAATAATTTTATATGAAGACAAACATGGATGACATAGGGAGTAGAAGATCGCGTTTTCATAAAATCACAAAGTTAAAATGAGACCTCGAAGACACTTTATTTAAGACTGCGTATCACTTGGTGCCTTTTACTCCATGCTGTCCCCAGCTTCCAAGAGGCACAAGTCTACCCCCATTGCTGCTGGGACGAGTTTTGGGGAAAGGATTGGGAAGCACCAGTTGTGTTCACTTCAGGCTGTAGATTGGGCCTTCAAATCATCTTCAAGACTGGTGACCACATGTTCATAATGGGTAGGGCTAGCGCTGTGGGCAGCATGCAAAAAATCCCATGTGCTTAGCAGGTTCTCAGCTAAGTTATTCAAAGGTAAGCCATTCAGCCCACCGCATGGTGGGCATCATCAGTCTAACCACCTAACCATCCATCCATCCATCCGTCCATCCATCCAACAACTGCCATAAACTCATCATTGTTTTAGGTACAGGGAAAATGGTGAACAAGGCGGGCAGTTTCTGTTCTCAAGGAGTTCACAATCTGGCAGGGAAAACACATTAAATGAAGAACAATATTATTAAACTTTTTGGTGGCATTAAACATTATTAGAAGAGTAGTTAAGTATTCTGGAGAGGAGCATAGTGTTCTAGCTTTTGGGGGAGCAGTCGTTTGTCATATCCACCTTCATGATTACATTCTCATTAAAGTAGTCCCTGCAACACTGGAAGACCACTTATTTTTATTTGTAGTCCTCAGAATCAATTTTTAAAGTAAAGGTAAATTTGTTCCCCCATGGGATTCTGAATATTTTGCATTGGGGAAGAATGAAGTATGATTTAGGAGTTTATTATGAAAACTTTCTGAGAATATAGGTACATATAAATTCTGAATGTACATTTGATATTTCAAATATATTAAAGGTAATATTTTTTCATTATAATCTGTTTTTGAGAATTAAATAAAAATAAACATATGTAATTGTAATCGCTTCACCAATCTATACCTCACGATGTTATTTTTAGAATAAAAATTTGTTTGAGCTTCCTCCTCGCCCCAAAAAATCAAAACCAGCCTTCCTTCCTCCTTCCCTCCCTCCCTAGTTCCCTCCCTTCATTCCTTCCAGCACATGCTTTTGACAGCCTATTTGAATCCCAACAGTATAATACACAGTGGTAAGAAAGCCAACAAAAGCCATCTAAATCTATGAAAATATCTTTCAGGGACAAATTGACCAAATGCCATTTTATTCAAATACAACTTGTTAGGAAGCGCCTATCCTGTCAAGTGAGGTTCTCTTTTCCCAAGTCATGACAAAGAAACAGATGACATCTCTTGCAGTGGGCTTTGGTATAATTCTCTCCTGCAAGCTGCTGAAAACCTTACCTTCTTTCAAGCCTGATGAAAGAACCATCCCAATTAATACAGTATAAATTCTTAAGGCCCCCTAGGAAATCGCAGGTAAAATTTTGCAGCTCCAAGGCCACTAGAAAAATCCTCTGGTGCCAAGATTTAGCCACAGGAGGATTCCTATCTTTCTCAAGGTGAGTAAACACCCTCTGGTACTTGTCAGAAAATCTTCAGTAGTGCGCTGTTTGAGAGATTCTATTTACCCTAACTTTTCTCATGGAAATGCCTGGTGCCCCATAAACCTTTCTGTGCCACAACTGTGGCAGAGCTAAAAGCATTGTTTGCCCCAGTCTGTATATCTTGATGCTCCAACACACGGGACCCTGCATCTACTCAGGACTCTGGTCCTCCCAGCCTTCTGTGCATGTGAACCGGGCAGCATCAGAGGAGAGTGTGAGCTGCCATGAGAATGGGGTGAACAGATACCTTTTTGTCACAGTTTACAATGTCGGAGCTTTGTAAATTGTCTTCTCCACTAGTTTATTAACTGATTCTTAAAAAGTAAAAAGAAACAGTTTATTAGGAAGGCTTCCTACCCAGCAGAGCAGTGTCAGATGCCAGCTCTCCTCAGGGAATGGGAACAAATACTTATTCACTACCAGGTTACTAAAGACAAAAAATATCACACCATCACTTGACACCAAGGTGATACTTTTCTTTCTTTTTTTTCCCTTTTTTTGTCTTTTTTACTGACCGGCAACGGGATCGCAACCCTCGGTGTTGCGCCCGCACCACGCTCAGCTCAGCCAGTGAGTGGGAACCGGTCTCCACATGGGATCCGAACCCTTGGCAGGAGCGCCGCCGCACTCCCAAGCGGTGCACTCTCCAGTGCGCCACCGGGCTGGCCCTATACTTTTCTTTCTTAATAAGAACTTTCTGGTCAGCAAGTTCCTACCCCAAACTGCTATACCTTGTTAGGGAGAGGCTTCTTGGGAGGTGTTGGGATTCCCTGGAGGTGACATTCCATTCGGTGTACCTCAGGAATATCTCTTGATAGCACATTAGCCTCTTAGAAGAAAAAAACAAAATGTCTCCGATTTCTTTTTATTTATAGCTACTCTTTTACTTTTATTCTTTAGCTCTGCTCTGAGCATATCAGAACAGTGCTGCATTTTGGAAGAGTGCCCTTGAGTTGACCAAAGGCCTTAGTTTTGCTTCATATAAAAAAGTTCACAATGAACTCAACTGATGAATTAAATGCTGTACTTTGATTTGAAAACACTATGTTTTTTTCTTAAAGAATCTCTGTTTAAAACAGGTTATTTTTTCAGATTTTCTTGAATGAATCAAAACATAAAAATCATTCAGAGAATATTTGCAAATTCTCCAACCTAGTGAGATGTGAGGATTAAAATCAAAGTTACCTTTAAAAATATCTAGAACATGTTAATAAATCGCCCAAGAATGTGATAATAATTATATGTAATAAGATCTTTAGCAATTTTAAATCAATTTACCAATTGTACAAGTATTAATACCAAAAACAATACCACAAATTTTTGGTTAACCACAAAATCCCTTTGTTTCACTTTTTAAAAAAAATCTTGGAAACCCTTTCTAAACGTAAAGGTTATTTCAACAAAAAAACCGTCCTCCTTGTACGACTCCACGACATCATTGATTGATCTTAGAATCACAGGCTCTTAGAGCTGTAGGGACGTAAGGGTGAGTCTTACCCAACCCCCTCATTTGCACAGACAGGCCCTGAAAGCAAGAGATGCAGGCAGTTGCTCAAAGTCCCGCAGCCAGATGATCTCAGAGCCAGGCCCGAACAGGAAGCCGGGGTCTACCCACTGCGTTTTCTACCACTCCAGATCATCTCCCTGCTGAGCAACTGCATTATGGAAGTGGAAGAACATTCGAAAACATATATACTGACTCTAGGACAGAAAGATTCTTCTTGTAATTGCTCTTTCTCGTACAAGTGGGACATAGCAAATTCCACTTAGAGAAAATGTCTAATAAAATGTTAAGGTATGCCTAGTCTTGCTTTAACAATCCTCGGAATTAGCCAGACAATAGCCTAGCCTTTTGGGGGGTGGGGAGACTCTCCAGATGTTCTGAATATTTCTGTCATTTGGAAATCATTGCACAATGGCTAAATTCACCAGGTGATTCCTTACCATCTGGTGTGGTACAGATATGCCACAGAACTACTAGAGTATTGTCCATGATATAAACAAATGACCAAAAAAAAAAAAAAAAAAAAAAAAATTCAAATGTAAAATGCTCTTTTTAATTACTAAGTTAAGAAAGTTAAACAATTAAAAAATGTAAACTCACAAAGAAATCATAACAAAAAAGGAATTAAGACTTCAGAGTTGCTACTAAGTATTAAAAACTTGATAGAAATAGGATTTTTGATTTGTTGTTGCTAAACATATGTAATTCAAGGTTGGTACAAACAGCAACTAAAAATGTAATACATTTTTTTGTGCATCCCCATGAAATGTAAAGCAGTGCATAGTTATTCCACTGGAGAACTCTTGGACGTATAGAAAATCATTCATTAGAAGTACAGGACATTTAAAACACTTATTTTACAATGGGAAATATACAACCCCCCACCCTTACCGTCCCCACAAATTTTAGTTGCATAAGAGAGTTTAGCAGGTTGACATGACTACAATGCTATGGGTTTTAGATCATTTAAATGTGGTTACAAGGTTTATTAAATTAAAAATGTCTGAAACATTTCAGCATTCATATTTTTATAAAAGAAGTTTGTGTGGTATCCATCTTCCAGTTCCCTTGGTAGTATCGGCCATTTGCTTGCTTAAATATGCTGACTTTTAAGTTTCAAGAATAAATCCTAGTAAGTTGAAGCAAATACTGGTAATGGAACTTGTGAATTCAGCTCCTTGGGGGGTTCTGAAAAGAGTCAAAGTAACAACCATCCACAGATAGTCATGAACAAAAAAAAGTGCAAACCAAATGAAAAAAAAAATCATGCTTTGCAAAAGCCAAAAATGAGGCCACTGGTTTTTAAAATAACACCAGGGCTTTGATGCAGATTTTGCAGTAAAATCCTCACTCTGGATCCCGTAGCTTTGTGGCACAGGTTGGCCACGGTCTCCACATTAGCACCCACATGGTCTATGTACAGGGACATATATATTATATATATTCATATTTATAAAAAAGGAAAAAACAAACACCTATCCTGATTGTTTTTTTTGTTAAAACATGAAAAAAAATTTTATTGTTTTAGACAAAGAGGCCACTTTTGGAAAATAATACTTTTTTTTAGTTGAATCAGGTGAAGACAGAGTTAAAATCACATAGGATTTGCATTTTAAAAAAAGGAAAGCACTAGGATCGTTGGCACTGGAGTAACTATTTACAATGAACAGAGGTTTGGCCTTTTACATAACATCAATACAATGCATTTTCCAAAGTCTGAGAAATAACAAGGTTCTGTTTCGAATGCTTCACAGAGGAGGTTCGGATTTGGGGACAAGTGTCATTAATGAGGGCCATGGAAGTTCGTCAGCTTCAGAGTCACATGCAATCTGATCCTGGACGGTTCTTGCTGCTCTGCTCAGGAGCAAGCAGCTGGCTACGGAATTGAAAGCTAATGGGGAGGGGGTGGGGAAGCCTCTGGGACAAGGCATCTCTCTGCAGACCCGGGTCTTACAGGTTTTCACCAGGTTGGTACTGGGGCTCTGTGGCAGTAAAGTAGTCTTCCAGGAAGCCCTGCAAGTACTCAAAAGTGGGACGCTCCTCGGGGTCCTTTTTCCAGCAGTGGATCATGAGCTCGTGCAGGGAGATGGGGCAGTCCTGCGGACAGGGCATCCTGTAGCCGCGCTCCACCTGCTCCAGCACCTCGCGGTTGTTCATGCCTGCAAAGACAAGCACAGTGAGAGCGGGCACCTCCGGCTGCAGACCCTGACCACCGCGCCTGGCACGCCCTTCTACTCTGAGCCTGCACATGAGTAAGACATGTGGAGGGGCCCCACCTCACCCAGGAGCTGGACCCTGCCTTTAGTGGGATACCATACAACTCAAAAATAAAAAAGGAACACAGGACTGATACACGCTGAAGCCCAGATGATGAATCTCAAAAGCATTATAAGTGAAAGAAACCAGACACAAAAGGCAACATATTGCATGATTTCATTTATATAAAATTCTAGAAAGGCAAAACTCCATCGATAGAAAGCAGGCCAGTGGTTTCCAGGGGGGAGGGGAGGAATGTCTGCAAGGGGGCGAGAGGCAACCTTGAGGGGTGATGGACATGCTCTGTACCAGGGGCCAGCGAATTTCTCCTGTAAAGGGTCAGAGAATATTTTTGGCGAGTTGCATATGATTCCTGTTGTCATCTTCTTTTTACAACCCTTTAAAAAAGTACAAAACAAAAACAGGCTGGGAGCCAGATTTGGCCCACAAGCTGCAGTCTTCTGATGCCTGTCCTCTATCATGTATGTGGTGGTATGACTGTTTCTGTTTGTCAGAGCTCATTGAATTGGATTCTTAATATTGTTGGATTTACATAATAATTCAATTATTTTGAATATTATGTATAATATTCTGTATAATTTTATGTACAATATTCTGTATAATTTACATAATACTTCAATTAGGCTGACCAAAATATATGAATAAAGCAGACAAAAAAAAAAAATCCCTGTGGGATGAAAGCACACGGCCCCTTGTTTATAACATTCATGAACTTCACCAGTTAGTTTTCCTCATGCCTGGAGGAACTCCTGGTGCCCCCCTGTTCAGATCTGCCATCATGGCTGGGCACCATTTGGCCCAGTGACCCCACAGTACCCCAAGGTTTGGTGACTTTGATGAGACAGGGCCTCTCCAGTGCCTGTGTTAGCAATGACTTCAGCCAGGTCGTCTATCACTTGGGACCCTCCTGACCCTCTGGGGGAACTGACTAGTGTTGACACATCAGGCTGCACAGCACTAAAAGAAGACATGGTGGGAGACTGCTAACCCTTGAGAGAAGGCAGCCGCCCGCATGCCGGCCTTTTTGACAGCACAGGAAACAGCGTACTTAGGGTGAGGCAAATGCCTTGACCCCTTTCCCAACTACTGCCACGCACCATTCTCTAATTTTTCCTCCTTTTCTTGCCATACCACATTCTACCATCTTCCTGCCAAGCCTTTATATGCTTTGGCTGCTCCTTGGCCCCAAGCCTGTAATCTGGAATCCTCCCCAATTTCAGACCTCGTTAATTTACGAAAGCAAGAAAGTGATTTCAAGCCATGCAGAGACCTAGGTTTCTTCCCGTCTCCCAGGACTACAGCAGGAACACAACATATGCAAGTAGCTCCCTTGAATTCTGGAGGAAACGGCAACCTGCTAGCTAGGAACCTGTCAGCCTGGCCAGAGGCACAGGGCCCAGAGCACAACCCTGTCCGCCTGGGTTGGGACACTCAGATGTTTGGATCTGTTGCCAATTCTCTTTGCTGTGTTGTTACTTTTGGAGCTGGGTGTATCCTGGCTCCTCCTTGCTGTCAACCCCGACCCTGTCAGTCACATGTTTGTCCAAACCTTTTTAGGATGCTTTCTTATTCTCTGCCCTTATAATTTTGAGTTGATAAAATCCATATATTATTTCTGCTGTATTGAAATATGCCTTCAATCTAACTATTGTACAATAACCTCACTCACATGTTAGGGCAACCTCTTATTTCAGGGAGAGAGTTTGGTGAAGGAGTCTGGGTCCCTTTGGTAAAGGAATCTGGCCTCTATGTCACACGTGTCTTTACAGGCACCTTCTTTTTTTTTTTTATTGGAGTGTCATTGGATTTAATGAGACAGTGGATCCAGTTCTACATGGCTAATACTCTCTTATTCATATCTTATTTAGGGCAATAAGTTGTGTAACCCTTTTTTCAAAATTTTAAAAATTATTTTATCAATATACAATATAGTTGATTTTCGTGTCCCTTTACCAATTCCTTCTTTTCCTCCCTCCTTCCCCTCCTCCATCAACATCATATCTGTTCACTTGTCTTAACAAGTTCAAGGAACTGTGATTGTTGTGTCTTCTCCCCACCCCCATTCATTTGAATATTTATTTATTTATTTTTATTAGCTACCACAAATAAGTGAGAACATGAGGTATTTCTCTTTCTGTGCCTGGCTTATTTCACTTAATATACACAGGCGCCTTCTTTAGTTGGGTGTTTGAAGGGAGAGACGTCTGCTCTGTGGCTTAATTAGCTGAAATCCTCCTTCAACTGCTGAAAACTCAGGATCTGGGTGGGAACCTGGAAACAAGGGGAGGAACGTGGAGCAGCTTGGAGAATGTAAGGCAGCCTTTTCCTGCAGTGCTCTAGACAAACAGGGTAAGGGACAGAGGACAGCATTTCCTCATCCAGAATTCCAAAATCCAAAAAGCTCTGAAAACATAACTCACCTGGCAGCAAAATTGATCTGAACTCACCTCATTTGGCCATAAAACCTGACCTGATGTGAGGCTATTTACTGTTTTTATCTTTTCATACATATGCCCCAGAAAGGTTACGAAGAGAATACAATCACACATCAGGACAGGCATTCTCCAAAGTGTGTTCTTTGCCACATATTTTTGTACAGTGCTTGGTTTCATAATATTTTGGAAACCATAGTGCCTGTACCTGCAGGAATCCCTCTTGTCTCTGCCCCCGCCAGGAGCCCGTAGGAACTGGAGGAAAGACAGGATGAAGGTTTCAACCTCAGAAGGTATGACAGGCCCTTCTGGAAGTGGTTACAACCCCCCAGAATGCCTCCAAATGCTTTATTCTGTTGCTGAGACTCCATCCAAAATGGCACCACAGGGTTTAATTAATCACTTTCCCATTGCTCTGTGGCGCTTATGTCAGTAAATGTTTCATTTTATTAAAAAACAAACTCCTCAAATGGAAAGATTTCACTTTTTTAAAAAAACAAACAAACAAAACACCTCCTAATTCACTCTCTGCCAATGGAAAGTTTAATCAGCCACTTGGGTCAAGCCTATTTTTCCAGTGCTCAGACCAAGCCTTGGACACAGCAGATACGGCAACTTGCACCTCAGCATGTAGCATCTCCTGAGGCAGCTGCTGCCTAGGCATGTGGTGCCGTGGTACGGAGCTGTCACTTGGCCCCCACTGGACATGGCTCACGCACGTGTTCCTTCTTGCTCTCCCCCTCTTTCCCTGCCTGCACCCCTCCGTAATAACTTCGTATAGCATACATTATACGAAGTTATACGACCTTATGTCAGTAAATGTTTCATTTTATTAAAAAACAAACTCCTCAAATGGAAAGATTTCACTTTTTTAAAAAAACAAACAAACAAAACACCTCCTAATTCACTCTCTGCCAATGGAAAGTTTAATCAGCCACTTGGGTCAAGCCTATTTTTCCAGTGCTCAGACCAAGCCTTGGACACAGCAGATACGGCAACTTGCACCTCAGCATGTAGCATCTCCTGAGGCAGCTGCTGCCTAGGCATGTGGTGCCGTGGTACGGAGCTGTCACTTGGCCCCCACTGGACATGGCTCACGCACGTGTTCCTTCTTGCTCTCCACCTCTTTCCCTGCCTGCACCCCTCCTCTTCCTTCTCTTCTCATGCCTTCTTCTCCCCAGACCTCTCAGAGCATGAGGAGCACATGGAAACACTCCACGCACTGGGCCAAGTAGAAACGTACCAACGACAGCTTTGCCAGAAAAGTGGGATATGCCCTTGGCTGACAATGACAACTGGAATGGAACTAGCTCTTTTCCAGCCATCCATGAGCCAGAACCCACATGGCTGACCCGCAGACCTGGCACCTTTACAGTATGTCCTGCGACGTTAACTGCACAGTTGAGATATGCCCACACGCCAAGGTGTGGGCTGGATTTTATTTTACAAACAATAATAAATTAAATGGATTGTGTTAACATTTAAAAATAATATTCTCAGTTATAAGAGCCAGAACCCACATGGCTGACCCGCAGACCTGGCACCTTTACAGTGTGTCCTGCGACGTTAACTGCACAGTTGAGATATGCCCACACGCCAAGGTGTGGGCTGGATTTTATTTTACAAACAATAATAAATTAAATGGATTGTGTTAACATTTAAAAATAATATTCTCAGTTATAAGAACTTTGAAAATCATATTTTTTTTCCAAGAATTCTCTTCTGGCAAATGGCTTTTTTTGTAAACGTACACTATCATAAAAATGAGCCTATTTAATTTTTTCTTTTTAGGTGGTATTGTATTTTTGTTAGAAAGAAAACTGTTATCTCCTCTTTTTTAGCCACTTTTTCTCACGACAATGGTTTTACCTAATATCTGGTAGGTAAAGGGCAGTGAATGGGAAGGGATTTACATGAGCGTGGGCACCAGCGTGGTCAGGAAGGTTTTGAGGGACAAGGGGACACTGGAGAGAAGAATCTTTTTACCATCCTTCCAACAGAAGAGGCGGACAGATAGGGAGGAGAATGCCTATGCGTGTTTTTCTTTTTCTTCCTTTGTCAGTGGGGAGAGGGCTAGGGGAGAAACAGAAGAGACAGAAACTTTAAAACATGGTGTCTGGGCACATTTTAGGGAAACACTGTCATCAACACTTTAGGCCTCCAGGTTTTCTAGTGGGAGCTGCAGTAGAGACTGTTTTCCAGCAGCAGGGGCGGTCCCCACCAGCCAGTGGGGCCTGGCTGTGGGAAGTGCCATATGCACATTGTGCGTGTGTTCCCTGGTTCCCAGCCTGTGTCAGGGAAGAGGTGAGGGCTGGGCAGCCAGCAAGCACAGAGACCACTGCCCGGTTTCCTTCCAACCCCCTCCTCTGCTCTCCCCGCCCCACCACAGCAACCTGCCCCTCCTGCTATCTCCTCGCTAGAGTCAGTCAGGAAATCGGGCCATTTCCATG